TTGGCCCACGAGGCAAAAATTCAAATTACTCCACCATGTCAATCTTTCACTCCCAAAGAGTCCGATTCTCAACTAAGCTTCATCAACTCTACAAGTACGACATAGTACATCCTCGTCCCAATGACCATACCTCTCTCCGACCTTCTCTGGCCTCAGTTGACCGCCAAATACACGCCCACGCCGATATTTATACCCGACGGAGGAAGCAAAGCGTGGAGCACAAATCTGGGAGATAGCTCTTTGGGATGGACGTGAGAGGAGTCAGGACAAGTTTACAAGATGATGCAAAGGAAGGATATAACTTCGACGGGCGTGAAATTTCGAATTTTGGCAAGAGTTTTACGAATTGGGCTTTGTGCGCGCCAAGACTTCGCTTGCGAGAGTGCAACTGACACTATAAACACAAGCAAACGATGGAAGGTGTTGTGGTCCGCCTCCTGGTGGTGTTCTCTGGTATAGTCTGAGTAGCCTGGGCACCTACTCCACTTGGGAAGGAGACATCTCAGATTACATTTCGCGCGGAGAAAAGTTGATGGATGACGGAGGCATGTCTGGGTAACTCAGGGTTTTTGAGACGTTCCCCTGGGCTGGTATTCACGGATGAGGGTTGACTTGGGGTGAAGAAAAAGCCACCGTAACTTCGCAGTGGTACTTGCAAATGAAATCCGAGGCATGAGTGCTCTTCCTTTACGTTGAATCATCTATTCTGTACTTTTATTTGATATTGTGTCATAGCTAGATAGCTGCAAACGCAATTCAAATCTGATGCAAAATAAAAAAAACTACCGTGGTGCCACGATTTCAAATTTTCAGTGGATTTATATGGGGCGCATATTCGCTACAGGGGTTGCACCCTGTAAGCGCCAATTCCAACAGGGTACATAATTATTGTCCTGTATTTCCGGGCCTAAACCGAGGGCACAATTTGATTTCATGTCACCCTCAGTTTTATGCAGATCCAAACCGCTCTCTACTGTCCTACATAGTTGTAAACTCAAATAGGACATAAATGGATAAAAAAAATACCCCCCAGCTCTCTAGTTTTTTCCCATGGCTTTGATGACCGCCGACCGCTAAAAAATTACACAGCTCTTCTCACCTTGTGCTTGAGTGACAATAAGAATTGGATTTCTCAAACACAAAGTTATTTGCTCAGAAGACATATGGCTTCACTCGATAATAACCTTATTTTACAGATGAATCCACCTCAAACCCCACCTTCAACACCTCGAATCAAACAATTATTCAGAGATCAAAACATTTTAGTAAGTAGAAAAATTAGATATGAACAAATATAAATTAAAAGAAAAATTAAGATTTATGGGCTTCATGAATCTGGCAAAAATCAGACGCAAATTGCCGCGCAACTGGGCATTTCTCGGGGACAAGTTAGCTATTCACTGCGCCGCGGAACTGTCTCCCCAAAAAGAGAAAAAGAACATCCTCTAGGCTGAATGCAGATGATGTTGTTCAGATTGTATCTTACGTTGAGTCCTCACCTGGAAACCGCAACAAAACATTTCTGGAACTCGCCTCTGGCCCCTTTAGACATCTTGGTGTTAGCGAGCGGGTAATACAAAGAGAACTTAAAAAAAGAGGATATTAGCGACATGTGGCTCGTCTAAAGCCTCCAGTATCCCAGAAAACTATGAAGACACGCAGAGAATGGGCTGAAGCTCATCTCAATTGGACATATGAAGACTGGACGTCAGTTTTATGGACAGACGAAACTTGGGTAGAGGATGGAAGACAATCTAGAGAATGAGTGACAAGAAGTGTTCGTACATTCCTCAATAAGAAGATGGCAATTTGATGCTCTAACATTATGAGCTAGACTTCCCAGGAATACAACGCTGATTGTGTTGAAGAAAAATCAAAGAATAGGGTCGGATGGATGTTCTGGGGTTGCTTTTCAGGGCCAGAAAAAGGCCCTTGATTGTTTTGGGAGAAGGAATGGGGCTCCATTAACTCCCAAGAATATTGCGAGAAGATAGTTCCTCTTATCGATGGCATGGTCTCGATGAGACCTTGGCTTTCCGTAATGCAGGATAATGCTCCTGCCCACACAGCCGCAATTACAATGGAAGATATGAGCCAGAGGCTCGTTCAACCGATTTTCTGGCCGGCCAACTCGCCTGATCTTAGCCCGATTGAAGCTGTTTGGAATAAGATGAAGGATCACATCCAGCGTCATCATCCGAATCTGGGTTGCGGAAAGCAGCGAAGTCAAGATAATCTTCACAACATTGTAAAGGAGGCATGGGATTCCGAGTCTCCCGAAGATCTTGTGAGACTCATTCAGAGTATGCCAGCAAGATGTCAGGCTGTGGTAGATGAGGATGCGGGACCGATTAGATATTAAGGCCTGAAAATATTCCAGCCTCATGTTCAGATCTAAGGTTAGTATAAGACTGGCCCTATTTTGTAATTTAAAAACCTTTGAACTCTCGTAAATAAGTTATAAAGTCAAGTAGCAAAAATGCGTAAATGTTATGCAGCCGATCATTATACAAATTAGGTTTAGTACGAAAGAAAGACCCATTGAAAACTATGGTGTCCAGATAAAAACTGCCATACAAAGTCTTTCAAAAATTTGCACAAATACAGGGTCTAACTCCAATGTGGAAGGTGACTATGCCTAAGGCGTCTTAAATTACACGCTAAAGCCCCTGCCATGGCCCCACTGCAAACTTGATACCGTGGCATCACGGTAGATGACGTTAGGCATTGATGGAAAACGATCCTTGGAAGTGGAGATTTGATTGGTGTTGGAATTTCCCATAATTTTTAGCGTCATTGGCACTCCCTGCAGTAGTGAACAACATCCTTCCGTACTGAATTCTAGATTCTATTCGCGGGTTGAACGATTATCTCATGCAGTTGCATCTGCAGGGTAATGTAAAATTGGGCGCAAACTCAGTGGAAATTAAGGTTGCGCCTTCTTGGGGCCAAATGGAACGGCATCTATGGTGCGGGGTCAATAACTGATCATTCTCTGCACAATGTTTTTGACTATCTTTTGTGTATTAAAGTGCTAAACGAGCTTTTGGAGCTATCTAGACCCGTGTGGGGCCGTGTCGGATTAGCTTGACTGCCGGACCTTGTCCCACTTTAGTGACTCGAAGCACCAGAGATTAATACGATTTGTTGAACTTATTCCGATGCCATTGCCCTTCACCCCACAACTACAAGCATTTTGACGCACCTTTGTGCCCTTACCCTTTCTGCATACCCTGTTGCCTTGCCTCGGCCACTACGCACCCGAGCCTTTAGTTTAATGCTTATTATTATAGGTTGTGCCAGCGCACAACTTGCTTCCTAAGATCACCTGCTGGCTAGCTCCGTCTAGAAAAACTATCTGACGTTCCGATGCTCCTTAAATCCCGGCATATACTTACTAGGCCTCAGCCTTCACGCGTGGTTCCCCAAACTCAAAATACATCAAAAGAATCTTTCCTTCGGGCCTTTTAGCAACTACAGTGCAGACAGAATGGTAATATTAAGCTGCATCACGGAGGTGAGAAACAGTTTTCCACCGCTACTGATAGAGCTACTAGAAAGTAGTTGAGAAACGCTCAACAGGTAGTATGGAGCGATTTTCCAAGCTAGGGGCGACAATGGGTCACTTCAAAAAACTAAGTTTTATGAACCCATTCGTTGAAGGCGGTAGGCCTTTCTAGGGAGAGTCATTAGTTTAGATCGCCGCCTCTATCGTTCAACGCAATTGCCAATCAGATGATATGCCTGCTGAAATTGCCGGAGAACTTTCTCAGATTCCACTGAAATTTATAGATTCCGAGCATAGCTTCCGACCACCTTCCACGAGCTTTAGCTTCAGTAGCAGTGTCTCCTGCCGACCAATAGCTTCTCGCCATGCCGCCACTCCTTTTCTGCATTCTATTAGGTGACCAACCAGTGTTTCGAGCCGGCACTCGCACTCAAGTTGTCCAGGACCGTGATTTCAACGGCGATGACAAGCTGCAAGCTCGCCGAAACCCGTTCGGTGAGCAATAAATCGAGTATGTATTAATACGAGAAGCGCAAGTTCCAGAGGCTTTTTGCGGCCTATCTGCAGCTCCAGATCAACGGATCTTTTAGGACGAGATGATGCCCACCAATCCACAATTTTGGCTTCTGCAAGGTTTCTAGTCTTGCACTTGGCCGCTGTCAGAGGTATTGGTCCCTGTATCTCTAGGCTATAGAAATGTGCACCGAGGGCACCTTGGGCTGTTTGGTCAGCTGTATTGTTTCCCTTGATACCATCGTGTTCCAAGATTCACCTCACATGCACTGGAGAAGCAGGCCGGCTTATCAACCGTTAAAATATCTTACTCCTCCAGGCTGATAATATGGCTCTTCTGGATTTCAGCGCTTGTATAGCAGTCTGATTATGAAGCATTAGTTAAGTGACCCAGCAATCTCAGTCAAGTACCTCGGATATGGTCGTCGCAAGCGTAGTCATTGCTCCGTGTATCTCGGCATTATGGACCTTAGCACCAATAAGATGGCCGAAGCCGATTGCCAGAAGTTTAATCGTCTCACCGCTATGGGATGCGGCGAATGTCCATGCTGCTAAAGGTAAAGACACGTACATTGATCGTGTGGTCAGCTGTGTTGATTATCTTTCACTGCCCCAATTGGTGTTTGCATAGTCACTTGACTTCTTGGATGTGTGCATATAAATTCTCGTTTTGCTCGTAACTTTGATCTTTAATGGAAACAACTATATTTGAGCTCTACTTTCTGCTCCCCTTACATTGAAATCGCAACAATTTAGTATAGAGTACTTAATCATTGCCTCGAGGGTCAACTTCTTCGGAATTGCAAGACTTGATTGAGCTTGGCTCTGAGGGAAATTTCACTCCTAGAAGACAACGCGGATAATTGTTCAGCCTTTAACTTCCGAATATCGTTATTGCACCCCAACCCAACATACGAAAAAGTTATCGTCTCAAGGCACTTCAAAACTGCGCATCGACGCCCCTGGAACCTCTATCAACATGGCAATAGCCTCGACAATTTTACTTGTCTTCCCCACTATCCTCCTACCGCCTGTAGGTGTTGGTATGGTGTCCGGGTGTGGTGCTGATCTTTTAATCAATATAATCTTGACAGTACTTGGGTACGTTAAGCCAATCTCAGGTTACAGAGTCTCTGTATGATCTTGACTAAGAGTACGACGCTAGATATTTTCCTGGGCTTATTCACGCGTTTTACCTCGAATATAATCACTATGAGCAGCGTGAAAATTCACAACTCGGTTGCCATCCCGCTGCTAGTATGCCTGGTAACTTCATTAGGCAAGACCCAAATGGTGGCTTCGTCCATTTTAGTGTACTCATTCCAATTGCTGGGTCCGTCCAAAATAGTGGCCCCAATAATGATCGGCCCAGTAATGCTTGCCCCGGTTATGATACCACAACCGATTCTGAATATATTATATGGGATTAATGGAGATAAAAGGGTACATAGTTTAAATCTAAAAAGCTCTTCTTCAAACACTGTATGAATACTCGAGAATTTCTGCCAGATTTTACGAAGACGAGTGGATTTCAAATATTTTTTTTCGACTTTAAGTGTGGATGACCAGTGTTGGAGGTAATCTTCAAGATTTCTAGCTTCTAGTATTCTAAAAATAAACCAGAAAGCTTCTTCCATTTTCTTCATTCTTTTGCCAACTCACATTAGAACCCTCGTCACGCTCGTGGGGGAATATTCTCAACACCTGTCAGTGGTGTCCCCTACGAACTTCCAGCTCTCACCATAGAGTCTGCAGAGCCGAGATCGAGTAACAAAGTCCTCACTTTGACGAGGATTCTCAGTCGCTTTCGCGCTCTGTATCGTCTTCATCTCTCAACATATCCCCCTATCACCATTATCATGAAGCTAACCACGATCACATCAGATGGTAGGGTCGGAGCTCTACTCATCACCAACCCTTGATCACGGAGGAAAAGCCATCGGATGAGTTTCCGGAGCGTACCTAGCACCCAACACGGAGATGGCGGATTGGATCAAGTCGACCTCGACTGTTACAAAGAAGGGAGATATAGATGAGTATGCGCACCTAATGTGGTCCTGGTGTCAAGGCCTCGCCTGACTGGGGCTGCAGGTTTTTCGAGACTTTTTCCCGCGCACGCAGTTTCCATTGCTACCTTTTTTTTTTTTTTAGGTAGAAGGTTCCGTGGAAAAGGTCGCTTAATTCCACGGGTAAATACTGAGCTGAATGGCATCCGTCATGGGTAATATATCGATGATCTTTCAAGTAACATGAGAGGCAAGGAGCACTGTGAAAGGTGTGGCCTGGGTCAGAGAGGAGCCCAATGTGCCAGATAGTCTATGACTCAAATAGTAAAATAATCAACACACATTCACTCGTCACGCTCGCTATCTACCGTACCCATCCCCTCCCGAGTTGGAATCCGTCTCAGCGTGGTCACCTTCCACCCTGTTCATTCTTCGGTAGACTGTATAATCTGCTTATAGCTAGCAATTTGATAAACTTCTGACATCCCTTCTCCTCTATCATCTCCTTGGCCCCAGGTGGGACCATTTTCTCACGGCTTCTCCAACGTTGCAAGGTAGGTTGGCACTCTAAAAAATGCTAGGGCCTTTTCTCTCGGCCGCAAACTGTGACGGAAACCGAGTTGGTGATGAATAAATCGATTTAATAAGCTATATGAGGAGAAAAGCTAACTCTAGCTACTACTAACAGGTATTTATAGGAGTTAATCCTCCTCGTGAATCTAGAGACTAGTGACTTGTCCTTAGGTACAATATTTCTTACCCAGCCACGTATTTCCAGGTGTCACTAAGTTGTAATGACGCTTGAGCCTCCTGAGTAGTAGTGTCGTTTCGTTCAGCTTCATCTCCCCCCCCCCATACAGCCTCTTTGTAATAATTCTTAGTATCAGGCTTAGGGATCCACCTAAGCTCAAACAACGGTCAAACCGTAACACAAACGCAATTCAGATCTTCATGTTCATGGTTGAAATTTCGATGGTAGTCGGTGTTAAAGTTATGAGCCTTAGCGAAGATGGAGGTTGTAGCGGAATCAGTGTCGGCGGTTAGACCGATGCAGTAAGTCTCGTATGGGGTTGTGAGAGGAAGATCTGAGTGGAAACAATTGTATTTAGATGTATGGTTTAGAGTAAAACCGAGATGATAAGAGTGAGATTGCGTGTTCGCATATCTTATCAACTGTGATTTTTGACCAGTTTTTATCAATCTCCATGGATCGTAAGTTATGATGCATGTAGATGTAGATCTATGTACATACACATATATGGGCCAGGAATATAAAGCTAAATACATGTGTGTCGGTAATAGATACGAGAAAACTATAACCTGCATTTAAGACAAAGTCATCCGCTGGAATTCTAGTGTGAAATAAACGCTAATGCGCATCAAACTTTCCGTGAAGGATGTATTGATAACAGTGATATAGAATGGGGAATTTGATAGTCAAATTAGCCGGACTTACTAATAAGTTATTCTTGGCATTCTAAGATATATCACATTTCAACAGTCGGCGTAGCCCCCATGGCCAGTTCTTGCCGCAATTAGACGGTGGTACGCCCATCTTGGCAGAGCCAGTTCCGGTGGCTGTTTACAGCGCATGAAGAGGTTTTAGACTCTACAAGTCAATTGAATAATGTAAGATGTATAAAGTATCAATTAATTCCTAGCTGTACTTTCTCTTTCTGTCACTATCTGGATTATGTATGTCCAGAAAATGGCAATGCCTTATCTGCCCCCAACTTGTCCCCATGAACCAAGTTTCTCATGGTTTAGAAAGAAACATCTCTAGTCAGAAGATATAGAATTCTTATTGCTACAACCCAAGCGAGACACCTTTGTCCGAAACAAGTAATTCCAAGCTTTGTAAACCTAACACCTTAAACTCTATATCTGACATTGATCGCTTCCAAACTATCCATAGTTTAATAAGATGCCTAGGTCTTTATATTGTTCCGGCCGAAACTTCTGCCACCACTCTTCCACGAGTTCTTGACCCCGAAATTTAACTAGCATCCCTAGTGCCACAAGGGTTAGATTTTGATAATCTCCACCGAGCAAAGCTGTGGTTAGTGACCAGTTGTTGAGAGGTCTCAAGGCCGATTTGACCGGCTCATCGGCCTCTTCAGTGCCTTTGACCCCAACATGACTAGGTATTCAGCGTATTTCTACACGCTTGTTTTGTCTCAGCAGTGAAAACTTATCCACCACTGCCTGCGAGGAAATAAATCTTCCTCTTTCGAGCGTCTGGGTGGCCACTTGGCTGTCCAGAAGAATGCAAATCGGTAAGTCTTCTCCTACCTCTATTGAAGCCTTCAAGGCTTTTACGGCACCCACAACTTCTGCGTCGAATACCTCTGCTCCAGGAAGTGGACCGGAACCACTTCCAACTAGCTTACCTTCTTGGTATACAACATACCCCCAGGCTGATTTTCCGGGACCCGATGATGATCCATCAGAGAAAGCGCAGACCGTGTTAACTGGACTGGAAGCTAACTATCGCTTTATGCTTCCAGACCTAGCTTCTTTTTCTCGACTATATGGAGTCAATGTTAGGGTACCACGTGGGAAGTATAGCTTTCCAGGGCCTTCAGCTGTCGGAACTCGACGCACACTTATTTGTAGGCGTTTCATGTACCGTTCTGGTTGTCTGAACAAGCGATTTCTTTGTCCCGATCTAATACCTAGGCGTCTTATTGTCACTTTCGGATCCTCGGCCGCCCGAATGGCTAGAGGGTGCCAAGCATCCATTCTTCGCATACGGACTGCAGACCGCAGCATCTTTTGCTGAAGAATTATCGATGCCGGGGGTATTCCCGCTTCACGATGAAGAGCGCCATTGGGAGTGGTACGCCACGCTGGGAGTGCTACTCTGATAGCTTTCATTATCGTTTTTCCCAGTAGAGATATACGCCAGCCTACTCTAGTGCCGACTTCCTTATCTCGTAGTGTGATTAATCGAGTGAGACCCGGCCACCACGCTTCTGCTCCATATAGAGCTATTGTCACAGACCGGCTTTCCCACGAGGAAAACGGCCTGCTTGTTACTACCATTGTGCCATGGTCTAATGCTGAGATGCTGCGTTTAGTCTGGTCAACCAAGTCAGGAACTTCCCTAGTAACATAGTCAATGCGTTGCGATGGTTACAATGTTATGATAGCAACAGTTACTAATCAACATAAGCAATCAGTTGCTGTGTTATAGCTGTAGACTACCATACCCCTGATTGTAGTAGCCGCTCTTGAGTACTTAAGGAAGGTCTAGGACTGGACTTGTTCTGTAGCTTTTTGTCTTGTAATTATTCTAGACTTTAGATTGATCCGATTATTATAAGCTTTACCTTATACCCCGATTCTGTCCCGTTCCGCCTCCGTCCCGTTCCGATCACATCCTGTCCCGACTACATCTGTCCCGACTCCGTCCTGTTCCGACCCTTGTCTTCAGAACTAGCCAACGAGCCTGACAGCTATGCTCAGAACATATGCATGTACTGCACGAATCAGAGGTCCAGGTGCTGCACCGCGTTCAACTCCGTTAATATGTCGTAATAACTTGACTAGACGATTAGCTTTTCCAGTCCATTCCTGTACATGTTGCTTGAAGTTTAGCTGGGTATCAAGTCAGACTCCTAGCCACCGGACATAAGGTGACGGTTCGATCCGGCGATCTTTCACCAAGATGAAAAGATCAGCCGCGTTAATTTTCTTTCTAGGCCATCCTCTGGTCACTAGAAGTTCTGACTTTGCAGGGTCAAAATTGATCCTGTGTTCTCCTGAGAGAAGGATGAGGCTGTCGAGGTCGTCTTGAGCTGCGGAGATAGCATCCGCCGCGGTGTTTCCAATTCTGACAATAGCTACTGTTGGTATCACAGGTATGTGATATCTGTTGCAAATTATTGGTTACTCTTGATATCTCGTGTTGTGCTTTTCTTTCTCTCTATCTGCTACACTACTTGGTATCCTCCACATGGTCCGTGTGACTCTACAGTCACGTGCCTTTACATGTAAGCTGTTGCTGGAACTGCCAATAACCACCACGTTCAGACAGCTACATCATCAGCATAGCCAAACCTGCTCGTTAGACGATGATGCTCAAAAATCACAGCAACATAGAGCATGGAAAGAAGTGGCGACAGTGGCGAGCCCTAAGGTACTCCACATTCCAGTATCTTCTCTCCTGTGATTCCACTGCGGTATTTCACATGGACATTTCGTTGGCAAATATAAGTCTGAAAAAATCGGCACAGGGATAGTGGCCAGCCTTGTTCTCGAAAGTGTTTGAGCAGTCGGTTGTGAAGGACTGCATCAAATGCACCTTGAATGTCAATTGTGACCAGAGCCGTACATTCTCCGCTTCTCATTGCCGCCTCGGCATCGTGGATTACACAAGATACGAGGTCGACTGCCGATTGTCCTGGTATAGAGCCGAATGA